AAAAGAAAAAGAAATAACGGAGGGCCAATTTGACCTATAATCTAAAGGGGATAGAAGTTGACTTTAGCTAGTCCCCATGCAGCAACTGGGGATGAGAGGCACAGGTCTATGGGGCAGACTCAGACTTGGCACCATGTAGATCATAGTATAAACATGGAGAGCAGAACGATGCCACCCCAGACCCTGCTCCTGACATGGCTGCCATCTCACATCCTACTCCTGAGAAGGCAGCTACCCCATCCCCCATCGTGTCTGTATGATGGTAATGGAATTTTGCGTCCATCTATAGAGCTGGAAGACAGTTTTCTCAACTTCGCTATGGTACAATGGAGAAACCTACCATGTGGTCACACCCACAGGACATCTGCCCACAACTGGTGGTCACCTGACAATTAGGGTGATGGGGTTCTCAGGGGTGCTGTCTACAGTCAGCTTCAGTCACAGCTGCAGAGGACAGGGTATAGGCTACTATCAAGCAGGCCAGCTGCACCCCCTCTGTCTCTGGCCTCCCAGGAGGTGTCCACAGAGCACCTAGACACCAGACTAATAAACACCACACACCCAGCAGTGGCTGAGTGTCAGCTTTGGTGACAGTTACCTGTCAGTAACAATTTCTCAAAGACAAACCCTTGAAGGGTGGCCCCTCTGACAGACAGTGCCTCGATGACTTGATGACACGGGAAAGATGACACCAAACCCTTTCCATACCCCATATATAAACATTAACTCAACCTGGATCAATGATCTAAATATAACAAAACCCACAAACTCTTAGGATGGGGCTGAGTCTTCATGACCTTGCGATCAGCAGTAGGTTCTTAGAGCTGACACCAAAGACCCTGGCTGAGAGGGAGAGGCCTTGACTGGACACCAGGAAAATCGATTTCTATGTATCACAGGGTGCCGTGGGGAAGGGAAGAGATAACCTATAAATATTTGCAAACCACACAATTGATAAGGGTTGATATCCAGGCTCTAGAAGATCTACAGCTCAACAAGAAGACAAAACGCTTAGAAGTAGACCTGCTCCCACTGTCTTTTGGGGGAGTTTCTACCATAGAAGACTGATGGGTGACAGACAACATGTTGACACTCAGGGCAGCCAGTCCCGAGGCCACAGTGACACATCACATCACATCTGTCCAGACGACTGTACTATAAAAGAATAAACTAAAGATAAGCCAGAAGAGGTGGCACATGCCTGTAATCCTGGTACTTAGGAGGTGGAGGCAGAAGGATCAGGAGTCTAAGGTCATCTTTAGCTATATAAAGAGTTTAAGGCTAACCTGAGGTGCATGAGTCTCCATCTTAAAAAAAAAAATTACAAGCCAGTCATGGTGGCATCGCCCTTTAATCTCTTGGGAGGCAGAGAGACGAACTCGTCTCTGTGAGTTTGAGGCCAGCCTGGTCTCCATTGTAAGTTCCTGGACAGCCAAGACTACACAGTGAGACCCTGTCTCAAAACAAACAAACACACAAACAAACAAAATTATATAAATGCCAAATGTTGTTAGGGATGTCGGAATTCTTGTGGCTGTAGAAAACAAATGAGGGCCAGTAAGATGGCTCAGTAAAGGCCCTTGTCACACAAGGCTGGCAACTGAGATCGAGCCCCAGAATCCACACATCAAGGAAGAAAGAAAACTATCCTGTCTTTCACATGTGTCATGGCACGCGCGCGCGCACACACACACACACACACACACGTATTAAACATGCTCTCCACAATAACAATAGTAAAGTTTTAAAAGATTCATTTCATTATGTTTAGCTCTAGGTCTGTGTGTCTGTGTGGGATCTGTGCACACAAGTACAGGTGCCCTCGGCAGTCAGCAGCACTGGGTCCTCTGGAGCTGGAGTTACAGGTGGTCGGAAGGGGTCTGATGTGGGTGCTGAGAACTGAAGTTGGGTCCTCTGCAAGAGAAGTACTTGCTTTTAACTACTGAGCTATCTCTCAGCCCAATAATAATAACTGTTAATGTTAAAGATGGAGAAACTAAATGATCCAGCAATTTCACCTAGGTAGTTACACAAAAGAACTGAGGGCCGGCTCTCCCGTAGAGTCCTTGGAGTTACGGCATTACTGCAAACGGCTCGGAGGTGAAAAGACACCAAGTGTATACTGATGTGTGAGTGGATACGTAAAATATTTGGTACAACGGAGTATTACTCTGCCATCTACAAGAAGCAGGGAGGCTTGCTGTGAGATGAAGCAACCTCGAGAACACATTACACAGACAACGATGCATGATGGCGGTCACCAGTGTCATTGACAGGTTCACAGAGACAGGTGGGGAAGTCAGTTGCCTGGGTCTGAGAAGAAAGCACGGTCTATGTCTGATGGACAGAGTACCGAAGTGACGGCAGACAGGTGGCACTTACTTGACATGTGAGGTTTGATGTCAGTGAGTCATGTGACTGTTATGAAAATCTTATATATTCTATCTCGATTTGATAAAAACAAACTAAATCAAAGGATCCACCTCACTCTACCTTTGTCCCATTCAAGCTCAAGCCTTATAATCCTTGCTCTGCAGCTGCCCAGCCCTGAATCTAGAGCCACTCACCACGCACGCACACACACACCCATGGCGTCCCAGTCCCCTGCTTTCAGCATGTACCCACCCACTGATTTGCCCATCACCATCACCACCACCACCATCACCACTGTCACCACCATCATCACCATCATCATCACCACCATCATCACCATCATCATCACCATCATCACCACCATCACCACCACCACCATCACCACCATCATCACCATCATCATCACCATCTTCATCACCATCATCACCACCATCACCATCATCACCATCATCATCACCATCTTCATCACCATCATCACCACCATCACCACCATCACCACCACACACTTTACAGTGAAGCACTGCAGAGCCTCTGCGGGCTCCAGAGGTCCAGCCTTCTGGCTGGCCTTCCTCCTGACACACACACAGCTCAAGTGCCCCCTGGGGCCTCTGGATTCCCACCCCCAGCCTGTACCCCCACTCGGCTCCATCTCTCCTCACTCTCTTCCTGCACTATCTCTGTCAGATCCTCAAACCCAAGAGACCCAGCTGCAGCTGGAATCACATTCTCCCCGCATGGCATGCATTTACCCTCACCTCCCTCAGAGGGATGGCAGTGAGATTACCAGAATGACAGTCCTCACCTCACACTGGAAACAGAACTACGGACAAGAGACGGGTGACAGGCTCAAGCCCACCCTCACAATACTTTAAGGAGAAGGTACAGGGTGGGTACGGCAACAAAGCGGGGGTTCAGAGATCAGTTGACTCAGGGGTCTCCATTTCCGCTCACCTTGTCCTCCACAACAGCACTGTACAAGTTATCCTCTCAGAGGCTGAAACTAGGAGAGAGCAGCCTTGATCTCTAGGCTTCTGTCTGTCCCGCAGTTCTAGGCTTCCTCATGGTCTGTGTCACAATGCTACCAGCTTCAGTCTCTGGTTCTATTCCCCGCTGTTCCCACTCACATATATGCCCAGCACTTCTGCATGCCTTGGGGTGGGGCCATGGCACCCATGTGAACCCAAACATTAAGGCTGGTCTGCCAGTCCTAAGAATTTATTTCTGGCTCTGGTGATGCCCAGGGTGGCAGAGGGACAAGAGCCTGCTCAGCACATAGCCAGAATAAAAGTTGTATTGCAGGGGGATGGACCAGGAGTGGAGGTGTTGTGACCATCCTGCACCGATGCCCACCCAGAAACTGTCCCATCCAAGCTGCCACAGAGGAAAACCTGGATGCCCACACCCGAGACCCACCTGGCCTAAGTCCAGGTAAAAACTAGAGCCCAGGCCTCCCTGCCATGGTGATTGGCGGGCACGGCACGGGCCAGGACAAGGCTGTCTCTTCAGGTCTTAGCTTCATGGCTTCAGACTCCGCCTAAGATGGAGTAAGGGAACATCACAACAGCTGCACCCAGATGGTGCCACCATGCCTTCTGTGAGGCCTCAGTTTCCCAGTCTGCGTAGTGGGGGATAGCCATGCCCCACCGCATCTAGCTGTCAGTGGATTGATACCCACAACGCTCCTTCCAGAACCCAGAACCCAGTCAGCCGCTCACCCAGAACCAGCCCAGAGCTAGTGTTTCAGACTGGCTGCCAAAAGGACAGAAATACGAGCTGGAGCAGGGACAGAAGGGTCTGGCCATCTAGTACCAGCCTTGGCAGGAGCCCTGGCTCTTCACCTGGTATTGGTGGCCCCACCCCTTTAATTTGAGGCTAAAGATGTCAGATTGGACCATTTTAAACAGCACACCAGAATAAGTTGCTTCCTGGGAGTTTAAGTGAAGACCAGGAGAGGAAGGCGGCAAAGTAGCTTGATGGCAAGACAACACCCTGACCAGGGCTCATCCCCAGCAAGCTCAACTGTGCTATCAAGTGCAACCCCTCTTGCCACCACACTCCGGGTTTATTTAATAACCTCCGAACTGGGAGGCGAACATGCAGGACACGTCTCCTGGGTCATTTATTTGAGAATTATTCATATAAAAATATCCAAGATAGTGACTTATTGGCCAGGACTTCCCTTCCCTGTCTGGCTTCCCAAACCCTCATCTGTCTCCCTGCTCTGTGAGCAGTTTCCGTTATAACTTCGAGTCATTGGAGTTACTTTACTTCCCAAATAAATCTCCACAACAGCGCGGAAATATTAAGAGTATTAATAGTGCCTGTAAAAACATCCGAAGACTCACATCTGCCAGGAGCGGTAGATGCAGCAGACTGGGGATATTCCCGAGGGAGTCAGCCACCCGGTGGCCTAGGTCCCTCCAAGGGACAAGGAGGGTCTCTCCCGGGGACAGGCAAGGTCCTTCTTAGGGGACAAACAAGGTCCCTCCAGGGACACGAGGCACCACTACCAGCCCCCGCGCGGCAACTGGCCACATCTGTCTGTCTGTCCATCAGTGTCCCCTGCAACCTCCACCCAAATCCCTTCCCTCTCCTCCTGCAGGGCAGCTCAGAGAAGGTCCTACCACCTGAGTTGGGGGATCCTGCGCCCTGTGCCTCGTGCGCGATTGTTTCCGGTCCTCGCTGGCACTCACGGTCCGCAGCTGCGCCCCCGCGGGACAAGCCCTCCAGGCCGATATCGCTATCCTGCGTGCCCTGCATGATGTGTTCGCTCCGGACGCCCTGGGTCCAGCAGAGGGACCGGCAGAGGCGGGAGGAGCGCTGAGCCTAGCCGCCTGCACCGAGCTGCTCCGCCCCCGTCTCTTTGGTCCTGGGGTCCCCCGGCTCCCCGCCCCGGGGGTCACGGGGTCACCTGCAGCCGCGCCCTCGCCCCGCCCCGCTCCCGCCCCCCACTGCATGGGAGGTGCCCCCAACTCCAGCCTGGCCCCACAGCAGCGGCAGCGCGGCGCAGCCTTGAACAGGGGGAGGCTCGTGGAGTGGCCCAGGCCCGCCCCTAACCCGCAGGACCCTGGGCGACCACTCTGCCAATTTGTGGAATGAGATGAGTAGGCTAACGGCAGAACCCGGGGGTTTGTTTTATTTTATTTTTAGACAGGGTCTCACTTTGCAGCCCCGGCTGCCCTGGAGCTCATAGAAGTCCACCTGCATCTGTCTTCCCGGTGCTGGGATCAAAGGGGTGCTCATCACACTCCCTATTTGATTTCTATCTTATATGTGGAGAGAGAGGGGTCCGGGGAGGGTCTTGCTATGCTGCTGTGGCTGGCCTCAAACTGGCCGCAATCCTCCTGTTCTCAACAATTATATAGATGTGAGCAGACACCCTCAGGACAAAATTCAGAGAGTTTTAGGGTGCCTTTTAAGGTAATCCCCCACCTGTGAGGAATTTAAGACTCTGGATAGTTGAGAACAGCCGAGGATGGAAGAAAACATGTGGGGATTCTCATTAACCGAAGCAAAGAGCATTTAGCCAAGGGCCCTCAGCTGCTGGTCCAGGGCCCTGTTGCTGCTGCTGCTGCCTTTGCTGCTGCCGCTGCGCAGGCTCCGGGCAGCGAGCCAGAGACCCTGCTCTCTGGGAGGCGGCTGTGGGATGGGCACTCTGAGCGCCCCACAGCTCAGCGGAGGTGCCTCCTGTGTGACATTTCTAAATAACCATCATAAATTGTGGAGCAGAAGAACCTTAAACAAAACGTTAATCTGCTGACTGAGTGTTGGGAGGTGGGGGGCAGGTGGATGGGTGGCCAGTCTCAACTTCTGAAAAGTCAGTATACCCTTCTTGTAGCCCCCGGGCCCCCGAGTTAGACTGGCGCTGACAACACAGATGCCAAGTTAACTCTCCACGGGTGCTTTGGCTGGCCCCTGATACAGACGGGTCCCAGACACACCATGTGGCCCTCACTGAACTCACAGAGAAGGGATTCCCAGCTAGGGGCTTGGTCCGCATGTACACTGCTCTGGCTGGAAAAAACTTTAGTGGATAAACCACAGAGAAACGTCCCCAACCGATCGAGTCCCCTTGTTCTGACTCAGTGCTAGCCTGAGTCTGACCTGAGACCTTTGGAGCTAGGTGAGAGGTTTTCCTCTGCCTAGAAGCCTTAAGAAGCCTCCCACCCACCATGGGGTCGGGTGTCCAGCACCTGATATCTGCCCGAGGAGGCTGCGTGGAGCCAGGGGCTGTCCCGGTTCCTTCCAGTCAGTCATGTTCCATCTGACCAGTGTGTGGGAGTCAAGATAAAACTGGTTTTTCTTGGAAGGGTCTGATCACTAACGTGGTGCATAGCAATAGCTCCGTTGTATAAATACACAGAAAATTCTAGAATTCTTATCCTTGAAATGATGAACTGTAAACCAAAAAGACTCAGGGGGACAAAAATGTAAACACTTGCCGGGACTATTTTTACTCCCTCGTTGTTTACCTTTGGGGGCCAGGGCTGGCTATTGTCTACTGAGCCAGGTTTAAAATACACATTTTTTTAAACATATTATTATCAGAAATATGCTAAGAAGTCATTAATAGAGGTTGATTCATTCAGACGAAAGTCAGTTTTTTTCTTTCTTTCTTTTTCATTATCTTGCCTCCAATTTAAGTCATGTTCATGGAAATCTCTGAGCTATGTCCAATGTATGTAAAACTGCCCTGATCGCCGCCCCAGACCACAGACGTTAAAGAGACATGACAGCAAGCACCTGAAGCAGTGCCCTTTTTAAAAAAAGGTTGCTCTCAACTGTTCTTCTAGCCAATGAGGTCATGTGGGAGCCATGCTGGGCTAGGCAAGGCGGGGCTGCCCATGTGGCCCCCACAGATAAAGTGGCTCCGAAGAAGAATGTTCCCCCCACCTCCCAAGGAAGCCTGGGGTGGGGACCCTCTAAAGCATGGGCCTCCCCAGCCTGCGTATGTTGGGGGAGGTATTTATACCAACAGCAAGCAGGGCAAGTGGACTGAGCAGGGAGGTGACGTGCCTGTCATTGGAACACACAGCCATCATTATGGAATACAGTAATCAGACAGCCCAGCGTGTCATTATGGAAAATGGTTTCCCTTTTTGGTGAGGTGGCGAGGGAGGGAGAAGGCAGCACTCTGTAAGGCTGGGGCCAGACCTACGGGCTGTGATCTGGCCCAGCTTAAAATAGACTTTGCTGGTGATGCCCTGGACCCAGCTGGGACAGGCTCGGCCCTCCAGAGAGGCATATCAGGGCCTCTAGCAACGCTGGACCCACAGTCACACTTAAGGTGACATGTAGCCAGAAGATCAAGCCCAGGTGCATGTTGGAGGCTAGAGCTGGCTGTATTCGGTGATGGCTGCAAGAACTAAATCCCTCACTTCACAAGGGTCCCCTCGGATCCCCCTGAGCCCCCTCAGGCTGTGTTTGGACTCTCATGTTCTCATCTGCCATTAGAGACTCCAGTTGAGAACTGAGAGTCAAGCACATTGTTCTGAGGCCCGAGACTCTGACAACTTGCCAAGGGCAACGAGATGTGGATCCAAGAGCTCAGGGCTCATGGATACTCTGAGTTTGAGAAGTGAACCATTTTCTATGCTTGTGCCCCGTCTGGACCTGTTCAGTGGGACAAAAAGGCTAACTCAAACCTGTTTCGCTCTCAGTATAAACTTCCCAATGGACTATTTAAGAGATGTCTAGGCCATTAAAAGCGCTGTTTGTTACATGAAGATGAATCCTCTGGTTCAAAGGGAATAAGGAGTGGTGGCCACAGTGCCACCTTTTCCATGCTGCTCCAGATTGTCCCAACAACCTTTGCTGAACCATTAGGTAACCCAAGGGACACCAAGCCACCTCATTCCTCCTGCCCTGCTGGCATTCATTCTCAGAACACACTTAGGGTCATTGCCATTAATGCACTAATTTCTCATCATCTTGGGGAGAGCTTGGCTCTGTGAGCACATAAGGTGGGTAGACCACTGACACCTCCAGCTGGAAGACTGACACTCAGAGGAGGGTGCGTGGAAGGGGGGACAGCCAATGACGTGGAGGTGCATAGCTGTAATTTCAGCACTGGGGAGATAGAGTCAGGAGGATCAGGAGTTCAAGGTCATCCTCAGCCAGAGACCAATTTCAGAATCAACTTACGACATAAAACCCTGCCCCAAAAGATGCAAACAGAACCAATGAGATGACTTAGTGGCTAAAGATGCTTTCTGCCAAGCTTGATTGCCTGAATTTGATCCCAGACCCATGTGGTGGAAGGAGAGTTGTCCTCTGACCTCCACTCTCACCCACACCACTTACATACATCCCTACACGGACCCACACCACTTACATACATCCCTACACGGACCCGCACCACTTACATACATCCCTACACGGACCCGCACCACTTACATACATCTCTACACGGACCCGCACCACTTACATACATCCCTACACGGACCCGCACCACTTACATACATCCCTACACGGACCCGCACCACTTACATACATCCCTACACGGACCCGCACCACTTACATACATCCCTACACGGACCCGCACCACTTACATACATCCCTACACGGACCCGCACCACTCACATACATCCCTACACGGACCTGCACCACTTACATACATCCCTACAAGGACCCGCACCACTTACATACATCCCTACATGGACCCACACCACTTACATACATCCCTACACGGACCCACACCACTTACATACATCCCTACACGGACCCGCACCACTTACATACATCCCTACATGCACATCCACAAGATAAACGAATGAATTTTTAAAACTAAAAAGAGATGCCCCACCTGGGGCTCACTGCAGGCTGGAGGAGGGAGGATCCCCGCCCTCTTCCTCACAGCCCTCCAACAAGCTATAGCTGGAGTTCCTGAAGTGCAGCTTGGGAAGCTCACTTACCTAGAAAGCCTGCTGCAACTGCAGAAAAGTCTCACCACAGCAGAGACCATGGTTTCCCTACGGCTGTAGATACAGAGTCCCTGCCCCTTCCACCACCTCTAGAGACCTCAAGGTCTTAGGCAACTTAGGCAGAACGACATCCAGAAGGCAAGGAGGTGGAGGAGGGAGTTTGTGGACCTTCAAGCGAGGGTCAGGTGATCCTCGATACCCACATCCTTCATGACTAGCAGGATGCGGGGGGTGGGGGGGAAGACTGGTCTCTGTGCGAGGCTGGCTGGGCTCACAGTAGCCACCGTCTTGGAAAGCCATGAGAGGTGTGGGGCTGCCAGGTGCCCGGTGCTGGCAGAGGTAGCTGTGGGTGCAGAGTAGGGACGCTAGATGATTAGGCAGGGGCTGGTGGTGGCCAGTAGGGCAGGGAAGTGGCCAAAGATTTGATGATTGTACTAAGTTTATCTATCTATGTATTATCTATCATCCATCCATCTATCTATCTATCTATCTATCTATCTATCTATCTATTCATCCATCTGTCCATCTGCCCTTCCATCTCTCTGTCTGTCCATCTGTCTGTCTACCTACCTATCTTCTATCTCTGTGTGGCTTATATGTGAGTGGAGGCCACAAGTTGGCATTGATTATCTTCCTCAAGCACTTTCTCCTTTAGGTTTTCAATTTCTCTCTCTTAACCTGGAACTCACTTGGGCTAATACACCCCAGTGATTTTCCTATCTCTGCACCCTCCAGGCTGGGATTGCAGACATAAGAATCCTGAGGGTTAATCTAAGCACAGCAAGCTTCTTTCTTCTAGTCTTTCTGGACCTTTCGTCTGATTTTATTTTTCCAAGACAAGGTCTCTCTACGTATCCTTAGCTGTTC